AGCGTGTCCACTCCACGCCACCTGGAAGAGCACGGCTCCTTTATGAAGCCCACCACCAGAGGACTGACCCTTCCGGAGCACTTTTATCAGCGAGTAAAATCTGACTTGATTACTAAGCGAGGCAGTTTTGTTGGTGCAGGGTCACCTAAAGATTTCAGCAGCCGCTTTCCATACGGACACATCTCCTTTCATCTAGAAAAGCTCTATCACTGGCACATTTGGTCTGAGATAAGTGTGTGACCAATTTATTTACTGGAAGAGCTATAGGACTCAGAGAGAGCGTTCTATGTTGTGGCTTGGTGCTAACTAATCATGCGATCATGTGCAGCATACATTTTGGCAGATGAGAAGGTCACGTGAGAGCAGCATACTGCCTTTTAAGTAGCTTGATAATTAGCTGAAGATACCTTTGTGGTTCAGTATGAATATGCAAGGACTGCATGGAATATTTTACCCAGGCAGTGACATGGTGTTCCTTCCTCTGCGGTAAATCCACAGTCAGGGACCAACCTCGAGAAAACACTAGAGGGCGCCTGGGTGGCTCAGTCGGTTGAGCGGCTGCCTTCGGCTCAGGTCATGATCCTGGAGTCCCGGGATCGAGTCCCGCATCGGGCTCCCTGCTCGGCAGGGAGTCTGCTTCTCCCTCTCCCACTCCCCATTTGTGTTCCCTCTCTCGCTGTGTCTTTCTCTGTCAAATAGATAAATAAAATCTTAAAAAAAAAAAAAAAAGAAAACACTAGAAATGTGAGAAAGCCAGGAAGAATTGCTGTACCGATACCAAATAAAAATGAATATACATAAAGCCATCACAGCTCCCACGCGCACGCACGTCAGGCTATGCTTTTCTGAAAGCCACAAGTCTTCAAGGTAGATTTATTGGCAAACGTACCATGAGAGACATTTTTTATGACACTCGTATAGAAGAGAGAGGTACCATCCACTTGGAACTTTTATAACGTATTACTTTCTTTTGCAAATGAAGATGAAGAACAGAATTTTTTAAGAACGACATTCATACCTTAACTCCTTTAGAACAAACATCGCAAAAATGAATGTTCATGCATAGGGACGAAACACATCTTGGTGAAAATACTGGGTCAGGAGTCTTGGTAAAAGGGCTCTCTTCACTGGGAGGCCAGTTCTAGGACACTCTTTTCCAAGTGCAGAAACAGGCCAGATCCTTATAAATTACCGAGGCTCAAAGAAAGCAGTGGGTTCTCACTAACAGCATCTCCCTGACCAGCGATGCCGATCTCACGATGAAACACAACCTGGGCCCGTCCGTGTCCCACCCCCAGTTGGTGCTCAGAGCAGGAGACAGAATAACTTCCACCAGGGAGTATAGTGACTCAGGAGGTGTGCTGGTCACAAGAGCAGAGAGACGATCCAGGCACCATTTTCCCCATTCCTAAGGCCTCCGGGTGCATTTTGCAAGGGACTCTTTCCTTAGAAAAGGCCCACAGTTTCATTTAAGTGAATTAGCAATTGCCAGTCTTCTGGTGGGTATCCAGGCCATAGAAAAGTCTTTAAAGGTCCTTCTTCTCACTCGATTACATTTTTAAAGGACCCATGAACAGTGTGTAAATCTGATCACCAGCAAGAAGCAAAAGCACCTAATATCACAGGGGGAGGCAACAGCCCTGTGGATGACTCCTCTGGTCTTCTCTCAACCCAGCGGTGTGTACAGTGCTGTATTCCAGCAAAGACACACGTGAATGGGGGGAGGTGCAAGGTGGGGGGTGGGTACCAGTCACCCAGCAAAAGGCTGGTCAGGGCGCCGGTCCACAAACAAGAGCACCTAACCCAGCACGGCTTAGACCCATATACCACGACGAGGAACACTGCCTGACACTGAGGGCCTCAGAAACTTCCAAAAAGAAAGAGAAAAATAAAATCTGAAATTGGACAATATAAAACTAAGCATGGGATGCCTGGGTGGCTCAGTCGGTTAAGCGTCTGCCTTCAGCTCAGGTCATGATTCCAGGGTCCTGGGATCGAGTCCCGCATCGGGCTCCCTGCTCCACGGGGAGCCTGCTTCTCCCTCTGCCTCTGCCTCTCTCTCTCTGTCTCTCATGAATAAACAAATAAAATCTTTAAAAAAAATAAAACTAAGCATGTCACTCAATTATCCTACAGTATCAGACCCCAATGGAATAAAGATAAAATGGCATCTCAATTCTGCAGCAAGGTGACCCCAAGGCTTCTGGGTCAGGGCCTCTTTCAGGCATCTACAAGATCTACGATTCTGTACTTGCCAGATGCAATTTTATTTGTTAAAAAAGTACGATACTTAGGATTATGGCACATTTTTATCCTATGCATGAGATGAATTCCAATAGCTCATTTCACACAGAATGCTGAAAGGTATAAAATGAACTATAACAAACAATACACAATCAACTGTACAGTGTTTAGGAAACACCACAGACACAGATAAAAGAAAAGGCTCAGGGCACCTGGGTGGCTCAGTTGGTTAAGTGTCTGCCTTCGGCTCAGGTCATGATCCCAGGGTCTTGGGATCGAGTCCCACACTGGGCTCCCTGCTCAGCAGGGAGTCTGCTTAACCCTCTGCCCCTCCCCCTCCCCCTACACTCTCTCTCCAATACTTTTTTTTTAAAAAGGCTCACACTGTATGTCACAGATTCTCCAGTGACATGGGAAGTCCCTCATTTCTCAGTTCCATACATAAATAGATGGGAAAACTGTCAGCCCACGACAGCATTCCCAACTAATAACATTCCAATGGAAACAAGGCCACATTCCAGGTATTATTGTTGACAGTATCGTGGAATAAATCATTACACGAAGCATAATTATTCAACACTTCTTTAATCACTTTAATTTTTAAATCCATTTCCAGTGATTACTTAGAAACCTTAAGCTGATTTACAGTTACACCATTGACATTCCACTTATGCAAAAACGAGTAGCAAACACACAGGGACTGAAATCTCTGTGATACGCTGGAATATTACAGTGTACCCACGACAGGTCTGGAAACCATTCTCTGCTCTTCCTCTACTCTAAAAGGTCCACTGACTGAGTTTTTTGTCCACCCTGTCAAGGATATTTTTCTCCCCAGATCTTCCTCTAATCTAAATTCACAGATGACATTAAGAAGCTAATGCATCCGAGCAAATCAAAAAAGCAAGGTCAAGTACACAGAGCAGGACAGCATTTCCGTCTTCCCACTCTGTGGACATCACAAGGGCTCATGGTTCCTTGATGACTTAAAGAGTCTTCCAAAGAACTCATTTTAAAAGGTAATCGTCCTTCATGAAAATATCCTGATGCTGTTGTTGCTCATTGAGTAATTACAGCTTATTCAGAATCTATTTTGTCTTTTGAGATTCTTTCCATGACGGCCTCGTTGGTTTCACAAAAGGAATCTCCAGACTCTTTTTATAGATATTAAAGATGTTGGAATTGGGAAGAGTCAGCTTAGGGCCTAAATCCCCTTCCTGCTTCTAAAGACTCCTGTAGGAGAAAGACAGGATGGTGGGGAATGGGCCTGGACGTGAGTGGTTTGCTCTGCACCCCTGTTCCCAGACAAGGCCTTGAACCCTTGCTGACTGCTCAATAGGAACAGATCCCCAGCTGGCTAAGACTGAGCGAGGGTTCTCACTGTCATCCCCCATTCTTAGAACATGCATGGGCTCTTCCTCAGGAACTCCTGAGGGGTCCTTCAAGCCCTTCAGGAAAGGGGCAACCGACCCTCCCTTCTACCTCCAGGGGATTCTAGCGTGTGGCCCATGGAAATGACTGAAAGGGGCTAAAAGGAAAGGTGCTTGCTTACTTCGCTGGTCAGCTGTCTCCCTACCGAGGATGAAGACCTAGGAGCAATTCACAGTCCCCTTCGATACCTCCTGGACACCACGGAGATGAGCAAAACCAGTATCAGTCTTACAGAAAAGACTAGGGAAACCAGCTCTGGCACCAAACCAGGGTGCCAAATCACAGTTTCCATGCCATCTGTGAGATCTAGAACTATTTCTTATGTCTCTGTAGGACATTTTCTGCAGTCACATAAGCACGGTAAAGTTGAGAATCAAATGAGAATCTTCCCACTCGTTACACAGTGGCCGGCACAGAAATTAAGTGTCAGTAACGTGCTGCTATCATGATCACCATTATGGGCATCATGCCCGAGATGAGAACTTTCCCAAAGGCATCCGGAACCACATGGTCTGAGAGAAGACATCACACTCCACCTGCTCTGTTCAACCTTCGCTAGATCCATTGATTGAAAGCACCTTACAATCTCTCCACATTCCAAGCACCATCCAAACTTCTATGAGCTCCTTCTTGTCCTCCTCATCCCAGCTTAACTGCTTGCCAGCAGGGGATGGCCCAAGTGAACACCCTGCTAGGGTCAGGCCCCTAACCCTAGAACTATCTCTTCAGTTCACTGGCCCCGACCCTGGCCACCACCCCCATCTGCCCATCACTCACTCCCTGTAACCCCACAGTACCATCATGTCACTCCCACCTCTGTAATCCAGCCCATTCCAACAGTTCAACCAGTTGAACTTGGTTTAACTTCAAGCCACACATCACCCATCCCACCTCAGGGCCCCTCAGAGGTCCACAACATGAGAGTGTTCCAAGGACACCCACGGCACAGCCCCAGGAAGGCAGGAGCACCAGCCCACAGGGGTGATCCTGGAGTCACCTCAATCTTAATCCATGGGGCCCCGTCTCCACCCACCTATACAAAGGTGTTAAGATTAGAGAAAAGAGGGGCGCCTGGGTGGCTCAGTTGGTTAAGCGACTGCCTTCGGCTCAGATCATGATCCTGGAGTCCCGGGATCGAGTCCCACATCGGGCTCCCTGCTCGTCAGGGAGTCTGCTTCTCCCTCAGACCCTCCCCCCTCTCCTGCTCTCTCTCTCTAATAAATAAATAAATAAAATCTTTAAAAAAAAAAAAAAAGATTAGAGAAAAGAACAGGATAAGGTAGACAAATCTACTACTGCAGAATAATGGAAAAGTCCACTGCAAATAAAGCCAACATACAGGGAAATGTTTTATTTCCTAATTTATACATGTGATTGTCCAAACCTAAATGAGACATACCTTAAAAAGGGAAATCTGAACGTAACACATGTTGAAACTCTGAAGCATAAAGTAGGCTGTTTTACTGGATGGAAACATACTAAGACAGCAATTGTCCCACTTCTCTGCTACCCAACTGTGACTTCACCCAAAACCGCATCCTTTACTCATGCCAGCCACAGAAACCAAACAGATCCAATGCTACCTATGTTCTTGGCTTGCTGCCTGGACAGTCATGTATGTCACCTTACTTGTCCCCTCCCAGGATAAGCAGAAAGAACTATGGTCACACAAGGAAGACCAATGTATCTAGTCTGGTTGCCAATGAAAACTCTTTAACTGGATGTTTTGTTCCTGGATTTGAAAAATTATTTTTTTTGAAATGCCATCAACCAAACTTAGTGAAATGATAACGTGTTCTAGAAATGAGGGGAAATAAAAGGGACCTATGTGTGCATCTTTTGCCTAAGAAACCAAACTTAAGAATAATGATTGGGAAGGAGAATGCTAAAATCTGGCGGGGGGCTGGGGGGGGGATCCCATAATACAAAACTTGAAAAACTGTCTAAATTATTATTAAAACTTTCTTGAGAAAAAAAATCACAGATGCAATTGCATACCTCAGTCATCTGTAGAAGAGAAACATCTACAATATATCAGAGTAGACAATAAAATAGCTGGGTTGGAGCACCTCAATTACTCTTTAAGATCCTTCATAAAATTTTATTAATGGCATCTTAAATGTAAATATGTAGCAAGAAACCACCAGGAGAATAAAGACTTAGAAGAAAATACATATCCTTTGCTAGAAGTAAATGACAAGTAAACTAGAATCAAATGTTTCTGTCTCCAAAATGTTGTTTTGCTGACCCTTCAACTTGGACACTTGCTTCTAGAATCATAGAAAAATCAGCCTGTTCTATAAACCGGACTGTATATAAATGCATGTCAGTGGCTTGTTACAATGCAGTGAAAGTAGCTTACCGTCAAAAGGCAGCTGGAAAAGGACCAGGTGGATTTTCGGGCCTGAGAGTAAGTGACATGCCTGAGAAGGATGGTCTTGGCCACCATCACACACCCAAGCACACGTCACTGAGCACTTACAATGAGTTCGGAATCCCGTCCCATGGAAATGACGGTTCGGTTGACTGTCCGGAGAAGTTTCTCCATGATTATCTGGACATGCCTCTGAGTTGGCCCCTGAAGGAAGACACACCAGTGAAAACCAACACCTAAGACAATCATTAGCATGCAAGCCTTGGCGGTTGTCTCTGAATCCATTTACCCTGTAAAAAGTAAATCAATTATAACCCTTAACGAGACGAAGAATGGCCCTTGTCAAAGGCAAAAGCCTTCACAAAGAAAACACAAGGCATCTTATTAATTATAGTCCATTAATGGTAATTTGTTATATAATCATAGTAATTTAATTTAAGCAAATCTTAAAAATAAAACAAATCTGTTTAAACAATATAATGTTTATAATCCGTGATTAGCCCACCAATTAGTTTTCTAGAGACACTTGTCCATCTGTAAATGGGAAGCAGGCAGAGAGCAAACCACAGATTATTCCGCACCAACAATCACGTAGAATACAATGTATTTATTTTAGCACACTACCTAAAATTATCATAGTGTGCCACAGACTTTTTTCCATCAGTAGAAATTTGCTCTGTTATTTTGTGTGTGATGGGATTCTTGATTCTTCATCATGCACTTGTAAGTTGTTTAGATATGTCCCCTAGGTGCTCACATACAAGGCTCGGGCAGGCACCACCTCCACGACGAGGCTGGGCCATACAAGCTTCTTCACTCCCAACCTTCTCCCCTTTAAGAAAGGGGAAGGCCCTGGAATGGGGCCGCTGGAGGCTGGCTGTTGGATCAAGGCTTCTAAAACCTTTCAAAGGCAACTCCCCCAGAAGTTATAGACACCCTTGCTATGAAGTGATTTCATCTGATCTCTTTCTTCAATGGCACTAATGAGGCTCTGAGAGCATGAGCCCATGCAGGAAGGAAGTGGGCAGGACAGGTAAGTGCATGTGTTGACTGGGAAGGTGTCCAGAGGTCATGTGGGGGAGAGCACAGATTAAGCCCTGCTGACCTTAAAAACTTGACCCATCTGTCTCCTGCTAGAGGCACAGATGGATGGACAAGGACCTATATGCCTTTCCAGACACACCCCGAGAATCAGGAGGATGTGTGCACGGGTACACAAATGTGTATTGGGCGGGGGAGGGTAGTGTTGGGGATGGGAAGCCATAGGGTCAGATTTTCCATATGCACTTGCACCAACTTCTGATTAAGAAAAAAGATCAGTGGACGAGGCATACAATTTACAAATACAAAAGGAAATACCATTTAAAAAGAGAAAAAAAGCTAAAAAAGCACAGAAGGAAATTACTTGTGGGGAGAGGAAGGTGGGAAAGGAGGCAGAGAGCCATTCTTCTCAAAACTCTCAGAAGCACCAACAACTTAAAAACAAAAACAAAAAAAAACCCAAAAACTCTGTGCATACATTACTTTAAAATAAGAATTGACAAAAAGAATATAGATAATTAGCCTCCATTTGTTTATTTCTACTTTTTAATATCAAAGCCATTTTCTGACCTTAAGGATCAAAATCTGTCTTGGAGAGGCATTCACCTGATTCAGTCAGGGGAAAAACTTAAAGATTTTTAACTTAGAAGAATACACATTTTAATATTAGTATCTCACTTTATACAGAAATAAGAACCATTGAAGGGTACCACTCAACAGAGAGAGAGAGGCTAACCCTTAAAATTAAGGTCATTTCTTTTTAAACGAGTCCTTTGTGCCTTTGTTAACTTTAAACAAAGTTAAAAATTAAACAAGTTAAAAATTAACTTTAGGGCGCCTGGGTGGCTCAGTCGTTAAGCGTCTGCCTTCGGCTCAGGTCATGATCCCAGGGTCCTGGGATCGAGTCCCACATCGGGCTCCCTGCTCGGCAGGAAGCCTGCTTCTCCCTTTCCCACTCCCCCTGCTTGTGTTCCTGCTCTCGCTATCTCTCTCTCTGTCAAATAAATAAATAAAAATCTTAAAAAAAAAAAAAATTAACTTTAAACGAGTTAAATGTGCCTTTGTGCAGTGAGGCAGGGGGCTCGTGGGGATTATAGGGGGACCCCTGCTGCCGGGTGCGCGAAGACAGCCTGAGTAAGCACAGCCATTACTCACCACGTCCTTCCTGTACAGAACCTCCAGGATGTTGCTGAGCAGGTGGCAACAGGCCTCCAGGTCTTCCTGTCTCTCCAGATGGTACTTGAGCTGATCCGTCATCATGGGAAGCAGGATCTCTCTGCAGTCTGCAGGGGACATGGGGCTGCCAGTCAGCAGGAGACCCACCAAGATACAACTCTATTTGCTAGAAGCTTGTTTTCCTAGCATGTTACATTGTTTTCAAGCATGTTATATTTACTTTCTTCCAAATGTGAAACTGACATCTGGAGGGGGTCAGATGGCCGGATATGAGGAAATCACTTATCCTCCTCTGTAAATACTTTACACACAAGCAGGCATGCACACATCTATGTGTGTGTCTGTCTCCTTGTAAATATACAGTAACAATCCACAAACATATATAAACACATTGACATATACATCCCCTAGTGTGCAGATAGATATAAACACAAACACACCAGCTGGGGCTTTGACTAGTTTCCTGTGCTGAACTATCAATTCACTGACTTACAACTTTTAAAGAAATATTAGTTACAACAAAAATTATTTGAATTACAGCTACTCTTATTTTTTCCCAGGAGGACCAAAGCATGGTTTCGTTCTGCTCCCATATGCCTCATAAATAAAGGTTTCTGAGCTCAGCCGAGTCATAACCCACTAAATTCCCCACTTGATCTTTGCTCACTCTGGGACAACTTTCCGGTAGGCTCACACCTGCAGAGACAGTTTGCAGAAAGCTCAGGACTCAGATTCTGGAAAGAGGTTATCGGAGTTGCAGGTCTCCTCCCTTCCTAGCAGGGACATCTTGAGCAGCTCACGTTAGCTCTGAGTCTCAGATTCCTCATCTCTGACATGGACACACGGCACTAGCTACTCACAGGTTTGGGGTACAATACTCCTACATGGTTAAGTTCGAAGGCCTGGGCCTCATTAGATGCTCAGGACAAGGTACTTGTTCTTATGACATAACACAGATACAGGAGAGGAGCGACAGCCTCTCTCTGGCCTACCAGACCCCTGCGCTAATGCACGGGCATGTGAAGGGGGGGAGCCATGGGGAACGAGCCCTGAGCCTGGAGATTAGAGTCAGGGAGGCCTCCTCCAGGGGGGCAGTGCCTTCATGTGCTGGCAAGAGGAACAGTAATTTCTCACATGGGGCAGGAAACCAAAGAATGGGAAACCTGTACACAAAGTCAGGCAGGAAGGCGCATAGGGCACATTTAGGAGGCACATGAACAGACACTTCCCCAAAGAAGACATACAAATGGCTACAGACACATGAAAAGATGTTCATCATCATTAGCCATCAGGGAAATTCAAATCAAAACCACATTGAGATACCACCTTACACCAGTCAGAATGGCAAAAATTGACAAGGCAAGAAACAACAAATGTTGGAGAGGCTGTGGGGAAAGGAGAACCCTCTTACACTGTTGGTGGGAATGCAAGTTCATACAGCCACTTTGAAAAACAGTGTGGAGGTTCCTCAAAAATTTAAAAATAGAGCTACCCTATGACCCAGCAATTGCACTACTGGATATTTACCCCAAAGACACAGATGTAGGGAAAAAAAGGGCCATATGCACCCCAATGTTCATAGCAGCAATGTCCGCAATAGCCAAACTGTGGAAAGAGCCGAGATGCCCTTCAACAGACGAATGGATAAAGAAGATGTGGTCCATATATACAATGGAATATTACTCAGCCATCAGAAAGGATGAATACCCAACTTTTACATCAACATGGATGGGACTGGAGGAGATTATGCTAAGTGAAATAGGTCAAGCAGAGAAAGTCAATTATCATATGGTTTCACTTATTTGTGGAACATAAGGAATAACATGGAGGACATTAGGAGAAGGAAGGGAGAAATGAAGGGGGGTTAAATTGGAGGGAGAGATGAACCATGTATTCTGAGAAACAAACTGAGGGTTTTAGAGGAGAGGGGGGTCGGGGGATGGGTTAGTCCGATGACGGGCATTAAGGAGGGTACATACTGCAGGGAGCACTGGGTGATATACGCAAACAATGAATCATGGAACACTACATCAAAAACTAATGATGTACGGTATGGTAACTAACATAACATAATAAAATAAAAATTAAAAAAAAAAAAGAGGCACATGCACAGAAGAGGGGGTGGGGGAGAAGAGGGGGGACATAAGGACCAAAGAACGTCCAGGTTTTCATTTGTCTTTTAGATAGGATCAGAGAAAAGGATGTTCAGAAAATTAAAGAACAATAAGGCAACAAACACAAAGGAGAGTAAAGACAAAATGTAATTATTAATTGTCTCTTCCAGTTGGGAAATCCCATTTAACTCCAGTATCTTCTTACCACCCTCGCTCTGCTTGTGACACCAGCCCAGCCACCACTGTTCCCTTTAAAGTGTGGAGCACGAGAGAGAAGACAGCAGAGCTCTGGAACATGAGACAGCCTTAGCTTGTTTTTAGGATTGTACATTTTAGGGCTTACGTTAATGACACATAAAAACATGTTTTGCGCTGTTTCCTGAATTTTTAAAAAAAAAAAAAAATGGAGCAGGCAACATTGAAATGGTTCTTGCAAGTATGCTGAGACCCACTTAGAAGACTTCCCCAAGGACCACACGGTAATAGATGCCCAAGAGTGCAGGCGGGAGCCACAAGGACGAAGAAATAGCACAAACCCTTCTGTTCCACCTACTTCCAGGGAACTGCATGTAGGAAGCTCATGCTAAGGCTTTTTCAAATCCCATTTTGATTGATCCCCTGAAAAGGACTAACAGCAGCTCCGTTTTTCCAGAAAGAGTTTGGTCCAGTGATTATATGATTTCACTTGTTGACAATGAGTCATCAGTACTTAATGCGTGAGGTGCTGACATGCTATGCATCTTCAAGACAGAGGCCAGGCCCACCCTCCCGGCTGTAATGTTGGGAATCACCGGAGGCCAGGGAGCAAGACACATAGCACGTGGAGAGATGCTATCCTGTGGGGACCATGAAGGACCCTCCATGTTTGTGTTCACGGATGTCAGGGGCCCTCACGTGATTCCCTTACCTTCTCAGCCAACAGCCCCGTAAACGCACAAGGGAAGTGCTCCAAAGAGTCAAGGCCTGCGGTCCGGGTAGGAACATGCAGAGCTGTCAGAGAGCAGCCCGAGACCAAACCAGTCCAAGGGAAATGCCCCAAGAAAATTACCCATGTCAGCAAAGGCAGCCTGGAAATGATTCAGTTCCAAATGCTGACCCACTGGACACATGAATCCCAGAAGCACCCCAAGCCTAGTGTCTTTCCTACAGAATCTCAACACTCACAAATGACATCTGCCCCCAGTAGGTCTTGACATGCTGACCTGAACCACAAGGCCACATCCAGTGTAAAGACTACATACCAACCTCCTCGAACCCAATAGGCTGGGAAGGTCTTCTGGCAAACCTGTCCGGGTCCAACTCTACTTGCGTCCATCCCCACGGCCCCTGGCGGGACATCTCCAGGATGATGGTCTTCATTCCCTTCTGTCTAAAACATACCACCCAGCTTGACCACCCTCACCAGGGGGCCAAGACGTTGGTCGCCCCGTCCACTGGTTCATCCCTACCACGGCCACCATCTTGGAGGGAAGTCAGATTTCCAAGACATCTCAGAGGGAGAAGTTGGAGCCACAAAGCCCTGGACCCCACAACATGATAAAGGAAAACAAATGACTGTCAGCTGGACAAAACAAGCATAGGAGGAACCCAACAGAAGTAGAAGGCCAGTCCAGGGTGGGAGGAGGAGTGTGTCCGTGAACAGTCTCAGAAAATCAGAGGAACACAGTTCTGGACTCAGAGATGGCAGAAATGTCCCTCCAGGCACCGGGACCCAGGTGCCATAGCCGAAATCCATCTCTTACCACCCCATTTATCTGTCATGCTGGACAAGCAGTTGCTGACTGCCCCGTTCTCAGAGGTAATTGAGTGTGTGAGTGTCATTTGTCAGAATTACTCCAGGGTGAGAAAGTCACGGCTGCCCTGTTCATCTTCAGCAGGACACGCTGTCAGCCACCTTCCGCTACCCGGGGGGATCGCCCACCTTCTCCCCAAGCCAGGGGTCTGCGTGTTAGCTGCACCTGTTTGTTATCCAGCTTCTCTTGATGAGAAATGACAACACTTTTCGGAAACTTCACTGCCATTCTGTCACAGAGAAAGACATTTCATTCTCTTAGCCACCCGAGAACATAAAAATCATCCTCCTGATGGATCCATAACCACAAGCTGGATGTTTCTAGTAGCCACAGGAGAATATAGCTCATCTTTCCTTCATCACTCTCCCCACCCGAAGCTGGTCACAGTAAAGTGGGGAAGGGGAGCAGCACCGTTCACTGGAAGGAGGAGAGGAGCCCATGCTGCCAGAAGGATGGTCCAAGGACAGACCGGGGTACAGGATGGCCCCAGACACCCGGTGCATGGACCACCGCAAATGACCACTGGTTCTACAATCCTTGCAGGGATCCAATCTCCATGAGAGAAGAGGGCTTGTTCTCACCCAAGGGGAGTAGCGCCCACACGTACACTAAGACCTGATTGTGTGTGTGTGTGTATGCGCGCGCTCCTCTTAGCAGGAAGCTGTCACACGTGTCCCTTGTTCTTGGTCTGTAAACCACCTCGCTTGCCTCCTGTTTGGTGAGAAGGAGGGACCTGTGGTCAGAGCCGCCCTGCCCTGTCCTTGGAAGACATCAGAGGGAAGAGGCATCATAACAAGATCTCTCCCATTTCTGGTGACCCAGTTTCACGGGACGGCCTCCGAGCCAGCCCAGACGGGAGTGTGCATGTACACGTGTGCATGTGCGGACACATGTGGGAGAGCTGGTGTGGGTCATCTGCCGTTCCAGGTGCACCGGATCGAGTGACAGGTGTGTGGCAAGAAGCCGGCGTGCCTGCCAGTGCTGTCTCAGCTCCTCAGCTGCCCCCGCCAGGGCCCAAGGGATACAGGGTCCCCAACCTCATCTCTCAAAGGGTGTCTCTTACTCCACATTTCAGTGATTTCCAGCTTCTTCAAGAAGTGGTGGGCACAAGTTCCAAGTGACATGCAAGTCTCTCAAATTTTACCAACGGGTCAAAACAAAAACCGTAGAGCACAGAGCAAAGTACCCCACACACACTCA